TGACAGGCCACCATCCTGTTTCAGGACAGAGCACCCCCTCACTTTACTCCAAAGCTCCCCTGGCCAGCCCTATCCTCCCTGCCTTAATGAAGTTCCCAGGCTGACACCTCCTAATTCCCCAATGATTAACTTCCAGCGGATTAGAAGTAGGACAGCTATTTAATTAATGCGCATGTCTGAGATTACTCAAGACTCATTAAGACTCCATGATTAACTTGTTAATGTGCAGGAATTCAATTATTTGTCTGGCACTGAACTCCTGGCCAGAACAGCAAATGCCCCATCCTCAAACTACACCACTGGGCCCAGGAGCCCCACTATGAAGGAAGAGATAGTCCAGCTCAGAGGAACCTGGGCTAAAGGAGAAGACAGCCCTGTCCAGAAAAGCCTGGGTCGCAGAGAGGAAAAATACGCTCTGTATCTTTGAGTGCCTCCAAGGTGAGTGGGGAGGTGCTTTCAAAGAAGAAAAGAACTAACTCCTGTCTTTGGGGGACCCTGGTCAAGGGAGGCAGCCTCTCTCTCTGAAAACTCCTCATTCTTAGACAACAGCACCACTCAGCCCTGGGACAGCCAAGTCACAGGGATAGCCTTGACCCTGCTCTGGGAAGCCTTAGCTGAATGAAGTTGTTGGAAGGCACCAGTCTGATAGAGATGTACCCAAAGCGGGATGGGGGGCTGGTTTGAGGATAGACACAGGAAGCCCATCCAGGTGATCCTGAGCCAAGAAGGGTCACAAGGCTAGTTCCTATGGCAGAGACCCAGAAAGACTTGAACAATTACAGGGGGACCAGAAAACCCCATTTCCTTGGAGGTTATTAGAGGAGGGACAACCAGAGGCAAGGGGAAAGGCAGAAGAGGCTCACCTGCTTCACTCTTCCCCTCACCCTCCAACCCAGGACCACTGATCTCTGTATTCCCTCATCTCTGCCCCACAGCACCCAGCCCAGGACTGAAATGTGACACTGATTAGGGACTAGCTGGGCATATGGCGGAAAGGACAGCCCAGGTAGCTAAGTCATCCAATAAGGTTGGGGTGACCATGGTCAGGAGGATGGTGCATCCACAAAGTACCTCCAGTGGCCCTGACTGTCTTCCACACATCATCTTATTTGTTCTTCCCACTTTTGAGAAGTGGAGACTGAGGTCCAGAAAGTCTGAAAAACGTGTCCAAGGACACACAGCAGCAAGGGGTGGAATCCAAGTCTCACCCCCAAGCCCATAACCTCCATCATTACCCTTAACCACACTGTTTCCAACTCCCCATAAGTCCAGGAGTCCCTGATGGGCAGACTTTTTCTGGCTGCTGCAATTCCAGGGAATTAAAAGTCTCTCCATAAAACAGTGCTATGGAAGGGCAAGTGAGAGAGGCCCTGCCCAGAGCCCAGGGAAACAGAGACCCCATCAGGAGTCCTAGACCATGTGACAAGCAGACCCAACAGGAAAGCAACTGTGCAAAGGCAGGAACTTGGTTCCAGTCCTGGTGGAGCCCTGCAGCACATAGAAACACCCACTGGCAACATGAGGAAGACATAAGGCTGGTGGCCCTGGAAGCCACAGCTCTCCCTCCTACAAGCCTGTGGCCTTAGGCAAGTCCCTTCCCCTCTCTGAGATCATTTCCTTAATGTAAATTGATGATGGCAACAGGTTGTTTGATAGTGTAACAACATCACCTTGTAAAGATGGCAAACCCACACTTAGCGAGTGAAGGACACTCACCATGTCAGTATCTTTAAATCATGGTTATTTGTTAGCTTCAACAGAAGAAAGAGAGGTCACCAGAAGCCCGCAGTGGTTCCTGTAAGAAAGTTTTGTCCTGCTAATGTCTACATGGTTTCGAGTCTTGGAGATGATACATTCAAGAGCACTAAATATGTTTCACAAACACATCTGATGCTCTTCTGAGTGTGATGCTGATTTCTGTAAAATGTGGGCTGGCTGAGATACTGTCAAATGCTGGCTGAAACTGTGCTGCCTGCTGATTAAATGGTTCACAGGCAGCATCACCAGAGAGAGTAGAGTCACTGCACATGTGCATAACAAATAGATCTGAGTTGGCAAGATGTCATCAAACTGGAGGGGCCAACAAAAGAATGTTGAGTGAATGCCAGGAACAGTGGTGCATGTTTGTAAGCCCAGTTTCTCGCAGGCCAAGGCAGGGAGGTCACAAGTTCAAAGCCAGCCTTGGCAGTTTAGCAATTTAGCAAGACCTTGTCTCCAATGAAATAAAAAGGGCTGAGGATGTAGTTTTAATAAGAGAGCATCAGCCTAGCAAGTGCAAGGCCCTGTGTTCAGTCCCCAGTATTGGAAGAAAGTGAAAAAAAGTTGTCAAATGATCCTAAATATCTGAACAGTACACTGTTCAGTCCTAAACAAGAAAACCAAGTGTAACAGGAAAAGGTAAATAAAACTTGCCTTTGAAAACTGAATTCCATCAAATGCTATTTAGCAAACAAAGCAGTAAACAGAAGCGAGGAACAGGGAGAAAAGACAGAAAGACAGAGAGAGAAAGGGAGAGAGACAGAGACAGAGACAGAGACAGAGAGAATGTGTCTTAAAACACTCTTTAAATCCTTTCAAAGAGCCATGTAAAATCTTAAAATAGCCTTGTAGATTTTCCTAGAAATACACATAAGAAATTCGTGATTTATTTTTTCATCTGTGGGGAGGAGAATGGAGACTAGAGGGGAGAGCTGTGGGAGGGAAATTTTTCACTGAATATGTAATACCCTCTTATAATTTTTAATTTTGAACCCTGTGAATGTATTGCCAATTCAAAAATTAAATTAAAGAATGTTAACCAGTTATCTCTGGTTGCTGGGACAATGAGTAGTTTCTTCATATATTTCTGTATTGTCTAGATTTTTTTAATGGCTGTGTATTACATTTCAAATCAAGAAAATAATAAAGCTATGAATATTTCCTTTAAAAGTCTGCCTCGCTTGTGCAGCATGGGCTAAGGACCTGGCTGGAAGGAATTATCAGAGGCCTAAAGTTAAAGGGGAACCATTTAGAAATAGGAACAGAGGGCAAAGGAGGCACAGGAGGAGGTCCCTACCACTTGGTGTGCAAACAAAACCTGGAAAACGCTTTTGGGGAATTAGAGAGAGAGTTTGTGCTCAGAAAGGAGTTGGGGAGTCTAAGTGCTATGAGTTCAAGGTCATTTATGGGACACAGATGTGGATCTACTTTCCTAATCACATCAGTGCTGAGCAAGAAGCCCACATCAGAGGCTTGATGTCACTCATAGTCCCCAGCTGCCTGGGCCGCTATGCATTCCAAATGTAGCATCAGGGACTCGAAATCAAAGCAATCATAAAACTCTAGATAATATAAAATGCCAAATGGTCATAAAAACAGCTCATACTTAGCATATGGCAGGTACTACCTAAGGCACTTACCCAGGTGAGCCAGGTGACTCTCCAGGACAGCTCTGTGACACATTGGCCGCTGTTTATCCTCAATTCACAGATGAAGAAATTGAAGCAGGCTGGTCAAGATGCCCTCTGAAAACCTTCCACTAAAAGCTTTCTATGTCTCCTAGTGATATGAGCTGAATTGTGTCCCTATAAAATTCACACACTGAAACTCTAACCAACAGTCCTTCGAAATACGGCTGTATTTGGAGACAGGGTCTTAAAGCGGTGACTAGGATAAAATCATACTAGTAGAATGGGCCCTCAATCAGTATGACTGTGTCCTTAAAGGAATATTTGGACAGAGACATGTACAGAATGAAGACCAGGAGAAGACACACCTACCAGAGAATGAAGTCCCAGAAAAGGTCAGCCCTGTGGGAGCAGGGAGTGTGGCTCCATGCTAGAGCAATTGCCTAGCATTTGAGAAATTCTGCCTTCAACTCCTAGTACTACAAAAGCTAAAATAAAATAAATCAGCCCTGCCAATACCTGGATTTCTAGGCTCCAAAATTTTGAGGAATTACATCTCTGTGGTTTAAGCCACCAGCTCTGTAGTACTTGCTATGACAACCCTTGCAAGCAAACAGACTGGCCATTTACCAATGGCCACGCAGGGAGGAGCACACGTTTGTCAGTTGCAAGGCTGCACACGCCAGTACCAGTGAGCAGATATGAGTGTGTGGATGGAACAAGGAATAATGTCAGAGTGTGTGTGTGTGTGTGTGCAAACACCAGCATGGGATATGTAGATGAGCATGTACTGACGCGCATGCATTTGTGTGGAATGAAGCCATAGATCTGGCCGTGTGTGTGGCTATCTGTGGCTAACCAGGAGGGGGAAGTTGTTGGTACACAAGTGTGTATTCATTCAGCCCTGCTCTGAAATAGTTAAAGACACTGTGCTGTGCTCACACATGTGCATCCCCAGGAACCTCCCCTCCCATGTGCTCAGGACTAAGCACTAGCATAACCTTTGAATCCAAAACCAGCCTTGTGGGTGGCCAAGATGAGGGTCATTATCCTGGCACATAGTAAGCACTATTTTATAGATGAGGAAATAGGCAAAATGTCCTGTCCCATGTCACATACGTGTATATATATGGTAGAGATAGGATCCACCCTCACAGGACCCAGTTCCTTGTCACGTGCTTTTTTCCCTACGTGTCACATTTCTGCATTATGAAATAATTCCTAGGAGGCCACTGGTTCAGACTGAGCTCCCACACAAAGCCCAACAGACCAAATCCAAATGGAGTCATTCATGCTAAAGTTTCCAGAAATCTAGAGAGTGGGGGATAAAAGCCAAATCCCCAAACAACAGACCGCTTTTAGCCAACGTGAGAAGGAAGCCCCTTGCTTTAATATTTATAAGACAAGTAACTGAAACGAGTCTTTGTGTTCCGTTTCTACCTTCCTCAGTCCTTTCTGTGTTTAAAGCCAACCTCCTCTGCCCGGTCCATAGCAACACTCATTCTATCCCACAGAATGCAGTGCTGCCCGGTTCTGAATCATGCACAGAAGCCGATTAATAGCTCCGGACGCCAAATTAGTATCTCCAAACTAAACTGGTATAGTGATACATACCTGTAATCCCAGCTACTGGAGAGACTGAGGCAGGAGGATTGCAAGTTCAGGCAGGCCTGGACAATTGAGTGAAAACTTGTCTCAAAATAAAATATTTTTAAAGGAGCTGAGGATATATCTCAGAGATAGAGATCCCTAGGTTCAGTCTCCAGTAGTGTGGAGAGAGGAGGAGGACGAGGTAGATGAGAGAAGGAAGGGAGGAAGGGAGAGGGAGGAAGAAAGGAAAGAAACAACTCTGTAAACTTAATTGGTGGTGAGTTTCACTTTTAACAGCACACACATTTTGACATGTCCAGAAGTCAAAGCACAAACACATAATCAGTGCTCATCACACATATACACATGGGTGCTCTCACACATCATACACACCTACATGGAGTTCTTCAACACACGTACACATGGCATCCACCACAACACACACACATACACAACTTCCATCCCATACACATACCTGGATGTCCACCACACACATGAACACAGTATTCACGAAACACACACAAAGGTATCCATTATATAGACACATATAGCAGTGCCCACCACATACACACGCACCCACAGAGGTATTAATCACCTACACATGTACAATGTGTCCATCACATATATGCACATGCACATGCACATACACACACAGGTGTCTGTCACTTATGCATACACTGGTGTTCACCACATACATACCCACACATAAGCATCTTTCACATGCACATTGCATACAAGATAATGTGCACATATACAAGTGTCTATAATGTACACACAGACGTCTATCATATGTGCACATATACACATGCACAAGCATCTGTCACACATACACACACACATGCATGTAGGCTCCTGAATGTAACAACACCCCAATATTTGCCTAGCAATGATTTAGCATCCGTCAATGCATAACCTCATTTCATGTTCACAAGAATGCAGTAAGTGGGGACCACTCTTACCTTCAGAGGTAGGAACTGAAGTGTAGAGGGGCCAGGTCCTTTCCTGAGGTCTCCTTCTCCCAAAAGAACATGACTGAAGCTTTCAACCCCTCTGCTCTACACCTCCCCACACGTGCCTTCATTCCGTCTGTCACTGGCTCTGTTGAGGTATATAATTAGTCATCATACAATGGCCTAATATTAAAATGAAATTAGCAGCGACCTAGGCGTAGGCAGACACTTTCAAACATGGCTCCCTCCCCCCATTCTCTTCCCAGGAAGCAGTGGTTTTGAAGGATCAGACATCTGCATAATGACTTTCCTTTGTTCCAATTAAATTGGCCAGAACAAGCGCCTCTGTTAAACCCAGAGGCTTCTGGTCCAGGGCATAATTTTTACCCTTGTCTGGAAATAAGCTAGTGGTTGCAAAAGGTGGAAATGTCAATTTCACAAGGTTTGGCATGCAATTCTAGAATTTGGGAATTTTTGAGCTGGCCTCAGGGCAGCAAAGGTTAACTGATGGCCTGTTTGGCAGGTTAAAGGCTAAACTCTTGGACTCGGATTCAGAAGTGGAGCATTTGCCTGGCATGCACAGAGGCCTCCGTTTCTAGCCCCAGCATCATAAATAAATAAATAAATAAATAAATAAATAAATAAATAAAATAAAGGTTACACAGACCCTTCAGGAAGAAGAGCAAAAGTCACCCTGAAAATTTTCTCTTTCATGGCTTGCTGAGCTGAGGATAGACTTGATAGAAAGAGACTAAAATCAAGCCCATGAGAACTTTCAGCTCTGCCGACAAAACCTCCAGAACAGTGTGCCAGTCAAGCCACCTCAGTCTTAATTTTTGTCTCACCACACACAATGCTAAAAACTCCACGTTGGAAGGATGCATCCTGGTATCCTAACACAGAAATATGCATTAGGCAGATTTTATGTGCCGAGCTTCAGGGATGTCACATTGAAGAAAGCCTCATAGAGATTTACAGACACACAAACTCTGTACTGGGGTGCCCCACTGTCCAGGGGAGCAGCAGGAGCAGTCCCAGGAAGGGCAGCAGAAGTGGTGAGTGGTGACGTCTCTGCAGAGGACTCAGCTTGAGGAAGAAGAAAAGGAGGAGCCCTCCATTACACCATTACATTTCATTACATTCCTTCCTACCTTAGCCCTCTGCTTTTGGAGAGCTGCTTCTCTCTCTCTCTCTCTCTCTCTCTCTCTCTCTCTCTCTCTCTCTCTCTTTCTGTCTCTCTGTCTCTCTCTCTGTCTCTGTCTCTCTCTGTCTCTCTCTCTGTCTCTCTCTCTGTCTCTCTCTCTAACATACACACACCCAAATATACAACAAAGAAACCAAAGTATCCCCCCAGGAAGCTTTAAAACCCAGAAGTGTCCTTTCGCCAGCAAGCAGAATCCCCCCCAGAGATGATGTATGGTCCCATGGTACGTGGCTCATCACAAGCCAGGCACACAGGCACCGAGTTAATGCTTTAGGGCCCTTTTCCCCATCTCACCACGGCCTCCACACACAGCCACCACAGCTACCTCTGTGGTCAGGGGAGAATTTAACCAGGCACCCCCTGGGCTACTGGATTAGCACAAGTGCTCTGGGAGGGCGGTGGCTCAGAGAGCAACTTTTGATGTTAAATGAACAGGTGTTTTCTTCCAGCTGGTCCTGTGGAGCCAGAAGTAGCTCCTGACTTTGTAGAGCCTGTTACTGCCTCACTGAGGCCACTGCTGGCAGCAGATGTGAGATTTAAATCCAAGTCTGCCTTGGAAAGCCTTGCAGTTCCAGAGGGGTCCTGTGAGCTCTCACTGGCCCTTGAAAATCCAGGGCAGAGGGTGTAAATCTTGCACCAGGCATTAACCACATCCGCAGCAGGTCTCCAAGGTGAACAGCCACTAGCATGTTGGAACAATGTAGAACTCCACTGGATTCTCCTCCCTTGACAGGTTGACAGCGGCCCGACCCTGATGAAATGATGTGTGACCCTGACCATGTGCAGGGCACTAAATCTATTTGGGGAAAAGAGGTGAATCTGTCCCCTTTGAACCCAACATTTCCTCTACTTGCCCTTCTTCTCTGAGAAGACAGGGAAGCCTAACGACAGATTGCAAGGTAAATAAATAAATAAATAAAAAGAGCCAAGCATGGTGGCACACACCTATAATCTCCACACTTTGGAGGCTGAGGCAGAAGGATCATTGCAAATTCCAGATCAGCCTGGGCTATAAAGTGAGCTCAAGGCCAGTCTGAACTGCATAGTGAGATCCTGCCTCAAAAGGTCAGGTCTCTATGGCCAGTGCTCAGCAGAACTTTGTCTTTAGCTCCAGACCTACACATGGGTCTGTGCCTGTGCAGCCTGACAGTTTTCGTGAGCGTGCATGTACAACCAGACAGTAGATTGGAGGGTGCTTCGGGTACACCTGGCCTCATGCCTGGACACCCTACAGGGTTTCCTTATCTCAAGGAAAACATGTTCATACATAAGGAGCACAGATCAGAAATGAAAGCATATCTGTGCCTTCTGGAGCACCAATCAGAAGCATATCCTTGTCCGCAGATAACCCAAACAGAGAGGGGAAACATAACCCAGTGTCAAGGAGCCAGGAGGCCACTCTGAGGGGAAAGACGCAGTTCTGATCTCAGGGAACTCAAATTAAGGGGGGACTGAAAGAGTTTTGGCCCAGACAGGACACTGTAGCCGGTAAAGCCAAAGAGCTCCTATCTCCCCCACCCTAGGAATTTACCTATGGCGCCAAACAAAGACCAATGGGCTACCTGTGCATCCCTAATGCCCCCTTAGGTTCCACCCCAGGCCGAGGCTACTTATATGCCTCTACTCCACATGTTCCACAGAGAGATCGCCAACCCCAGGGGGGAGATGCCACGCCCCAAGGGATCAGGGGTGTCTCTCCCCGCATTCTTAAAGGTCATTTATATTTCATACTTCTTATCTTTTCAGCCGCTGCCAGTCCCCAACAGTTCTATCAGAGACATAGACCCAACCTCTGGGAAGAGAGCAGGACACATACCCTTGAGCTGCGGGAACCCACTCTGAAGAAAAACATATGCCCCTGACCTTGGAGAGCCCACTCCCGAGGCTGGGGTGGCCCTGACCTCAGGGAGCCCAGTGGTAAGGAGACTTGTCCCTGTCCTAAGGAGCTCGTCTGAGGGGAAAAACTTGGTCTTGATTTCAGGAAACCCAAATTGAGGGAAGAGACCTGGCCCCAACCTGAGAGAGGGCAGTCTGAGGAAGGAGACATGGCCTTGGCCTTGGGAAGCCCACTTGAAGGGTTGGAGAGGGCATGGCCCTGACCTCAGGGAGCCCGGTCAGAGTACATGAGACTGCGGGACTGGGCTTCTCCTTTCTGAAGACAGTGATGAGACACACGTGCAGGGAGGACCCCCGGGCCACGGAGGCTCCCACACTGAGAGTGAGGATAAGCAGCACCAGCCCTGGGCCTCACCAGGGAGAAGCAGCTCTGCAGTGAGAAGCGAGTTTGGCTGTCACTCAGCATGTGGCTCCCCAGGGAACATTTTACTACTTCACCTGTTCTTTGTCGCCTGTCTGACAGAGCTTCCACAGCAATTCCAGGACTATATTTCATTGTCACATTTATTTGCAAGGGGTGTCAGTCAGGCCCTGGAAGTCAGGAGCCCTGCTGCTGGGCCTTTTGTTCTACACACACAGGTACACACTCACCTCGAGATACACAGAGGACTCCCAGACCCACACAGTCATGCACATGCCATGGACGCACAGACTCAGGTCCCGAGGATCAGGGAGCACCACACACACGAATGTTCCGTAGGTGCTCATTCATAGGCACACAGCAGGGTATGGCATCCCTCGTGCCCACAGACACCCCGTGCTACACTCAGCAGCACAGCTCAGTCACACACAGACCCGGAGAACCAGTCCTCAAACCAAGGGTGCCACAGCCAGGCCTTTACCAGGTAGGCCTGCAGGGGCCCAGCTCCCAGCCTCTTGGACCCCTTGAAGATCAGGGGACAAAGAGCTAGAGAAGGGTAGGGAGCTCTCAAAGGCCCCTCCCCATCTCCCATGAGTTTCTGGAGCTAAGAAGTCCCTGCTACGCCCCTCTACACACACACACACACACACACACACACACACACACACACACACACATACAGCGGGAGCCTCTTCAGCTGCTGAGTTGAAGCTGAACCATTAGCTCTAATTACCACACTTGTTGGAAAAGGGATTTAATTAACTCTCTGCTGGATTCCAAGGGGAGCCAGAGCCCAGGGCCTCTTCTTCCCTGCCTTGGATTTTCAGGTGAGGGGGAAGGGTCTCTGGTGGAGGAGGAGGTGGTAGGAGGAGCCTCAGGTCCAGACATCCAGATATATCCTGACACCTACTCTGCTTGATCAGATGTACTTTCACACAGACATGCATGGAAACACTCCACTTAAATGTGACCACACACTTAACAGATGGCACAAATGGATGTGAGGGTAGATGGGATGGATAGATGGGTGGATGGATGGATGGATGGATGGATGGATGGGTGGATGGGTGGATGGGTAGATGGATGGATAAACAAACAGCACTATCAAGCACACAGAAACACACACACTTCAATCCTTCAGGTCCACATGGGGAGCTAATTAGAGTCCCTCACATCCTTCTGTGGCTCTCTCTGACCCTCACCCTGCCCTTTCCAGTGAAGGAAATCTTCACAGAGTAACAGTGAACAAGTGAGTCCTGAAATTCAACTACTAGGATTTGAATGGTTCTACCTTTTCCCCACTATGTGAACTTGGGATATGTTTCTTGAGCTCTCTGTACCTATGTGCTATGATTTAGAACTAAAATATCCCCCCAAAAGTCATGTGTCAGAGGTGGAGTTTTTGGAAGGTGTTTGGATCACAGAGATGCTGTACTTATCAGGAGACTGATTCATTAATGATTTTAGAGCTGAATGTACTATTAGGAGGTAGGGCCTGGTTGGAAGGGAAGGTATCTTCCTGTCTGTCTGTCTCTCTCTCTCTCTCTCTCTCTCTCTCTCTCTCTCTCTCTCTCTCTCTTTCTCTCTCTCTTGCCTCCTGGCTGCCATGGTGTATGCAGCTTTCCTCAGCCATGCCATTCCAACATGGCATTTCTGCCTTAGAGCTGACTGGTGATAGACTCAAGGTAAATTAAAATAAACTCTCC